AATGCCAAGTGCTTACTACTCGATACATTGATTGATTTGTTGAACACCTTCGCCCTTGCTGCCATTGGACTACTGATCCCTTGCTTGGGACCGTAGGAACTTGAGCGTCTGGTCCCATCCAATCATGCTGGATGAACAGCAGCTATGAAAGGTGCAAATCTTGGTCTTGGGCACCATAGAAGCACACATCACTTAGCCAAAGAAAGACGATAAGGAGGCACTCATCATAACAATTCACCATGATAGCTGCCTTTGGCTCTACTGTAACTGATTCATCGAGCAACGAGACAGTGGATTGATTCCTACAGCTATGGGCTCAGGTTCCTTCCTCCTCTAGAGCTATCTTAGTTCGTACTAGACAGATGTCTTCAGCCCAATTCTCAATAGTTTTTCGCTCATACAGTCGTGTGGTTCCAAAAGGATAGCTTAGCAAATAGCGTGTGAGTTTTGCCAACCAATGAGCAAAGCCAGTGGTAGCAAAAACACTTCTTTTTAAACTCTTTTAGAGACCCCAGGACTCGATCATATGGATATGTAACATATAGGCCAAGGAGCTTTCTCGAACCCTACACTAACACTAGCTCCCTAGAAACCCAATCTTTTCTAACGTATTTCCCATGGTTGCCCATTAGTTGGCTGATTCCCAACCTCGACTTGGCATTAAGCATTCAGACTTGACATCAGGCAGCATAAAAAATCCATCACATGAGACCTATGCACTGTAGGAATCAAACGAAGGAATCTGAATGGCACTTTTGTTGTCACAAAACATATCAATAGAGGTGAACGTGAAGGGAGAACGACGGTGTTCTTCACTTTGGTTGATCGGCACTGCGACTTGGAAAGTTCTGCTCGTCCTCCCTTTTCGTTTCTATGTATGGATTCTTCAGAAGAGAGGAGCCGTAGTGGTCCCCCTGGACCACTCAGATCCCTCGATTGAGGTCAAGGTTCAAGACTATACTATACTATATTTCACTATACTACAAAGGTAGAGCCCCAAATTCTTGGCCTCTAGTGGTCCTTGCTTTTAAGAAAGCGAGGCAAACTTACCGTACTTGCTTGCTCGCTCTATATGCCCCCATTTCATCGGGTGTCCCTAGGTTGTTGGCGTGTAGTCGCTGTACACTTGTTTCGTGCTAGTAGAGTCCAGTCTACCTGATAAGCTAACAAGCATAAGATTCGCCATGTGTGGTGTAAGCCGAGTCATTGGATCTCATGGTGGAAAGACGTGAGGAAGTTGGGCCACGGAAACTTCCAATGTTTGTTCTTAGGCGAACCGGCTGCTCCTTATTAATGCTAGCGCCTAAAATATTTTAGTGTACATTATCGCATTGTTCCATGTGGTGGAAGCATACTAACTAAGAAAGAAAATAAGAGAGATTTTTCATATAGGGGCTAAGGGTATAAAATGCCCGATCGGTGAAATGCAATGGTTTACAACCCAAAAACCATGGTGGGATAGGAATTACATGGCTTACAGAGGAGAATTACATTAACCGGGCTTACCCACCCACCAAATGTTACATAAGCCTCTCAAAGAACCCATTTATGCAAGAGAACAACAAAAATGGTATCCAGTAGATGCAGAGAAAAGACCCCACAAGGCAGAAAAATGTGCATTAACATTTGTCATGCTAAAGTCATTGTAATGATCTGCCTAGAAAGTAATAACATGCTTTTGAACAAACTCCTCACAATCCACAAATTGAGGCCAATGAAATTAGATATGTGTACAGCCCTCATAGGCAAAGACACTACTAAAAAGATCTCATCCTCCTCAAAAGGTTAAATCCATCCAGATGGCACAAGCGCTCTAAATCCTTAAATCCTTGTCTCTACCAATACTATACACCATTGAGAGAAGATCTCATCCTCCTTAAATCCATCCAGATGGCACAAGACCTCTAAATCCTTAAATCGTTGTCTCTACCACTAATATACACCATTGAACCTCTCAACCAGCCACCTCTCAGTCGATCTTGCGTCAATTGAATCAATGTGCCAAGCAGTTTAGGACTGCCAACACAATCTGTTTGCTGCTCTTAACTAATATCCCACTTTTTGGCATAATCAAATCCCTCATTTCGTTTATCAGGATAAGCAATTGTCTAAACTCAATTGCACAAAGTACTCAAAGGCCCACATGTTCAACATTTATTCTGTCCCATTGGTCGTCAATAAATCTCATAAATAGAACTATATATCTAAAAACCTATGTTACCATGGACAAGAATTAGATACTTATCGAAAAAGAGCATAGTTGCTAGGAGCCGGATCGGGGATGGCTCTGGGATTGGGAGCTGGAATGGCGGATCGAAGGCTGATAGAAGCTCCAATATTCAGGGAGCACACTCCAGACAATGTATCTATCCTGGAGCTAAATCCCATATATAAGGATATCATTCCCAAATGCTCAAGGGAGTAAGATCCCATTTTGCAAGGACCATTGTTCCCACTTCTTATTGGATCTCGACCCCAAATACCCAGGGACCGCTATCCATATGAATTGGGGTCCTCGATCTATAAATATAAAGCATCGCAGTCCCAATGCTCACGGAAACTCGATCCCATTACGCAACAAATGAGTTCCCTCTTTCGATTGTGTGAAATGCTTTAATTATTTTAATTCCTACTATAATTTACACATTATAATTTAATTCCTGATGTTTAGGATCAATACACAACAAGGATGAAGATCCACAAATATAGGGATCGAGATCCCGATAAGGATGAAGATCCATAAATATAGGGATCGAGGATCGAGATCCCTGAATGGAGAGATCATGATCCAAACATGATAGAGATCAAGATCCACAAATAAAGGGATCGAGCACCATTGTTAGGTGGGATCGAGGTCCCTACGGATAAGGAATCAAGATTATCTGGAAAAAGGGCGAGCTCCCTTGAAAAAAAAAGAGTTTCAGTCGAGTTCTAGGCTTCGGAGCGCGGGATTTGGATTTTGGAGCCAGAACCACGTCCCCCAAGAGCGCTCCCGGTAAATGGAAAAGAATGATCAAATCCAAGGAAATTGGAAATGCATAGCATACAAACCAGAATATTTTTGAGACTGTGAGTCTCCAAGGGAATGATAGATACCCTACAAGATACAAGTTGATGAGAGGAAAATCTTAAGTTTGTCAAACTCAAAAAGTGCATGCCTCTAACCTAGTACAACAGCAAGCACCAAGAGGCCAAGAAAAGAAATTCAAAACCGAAGCTTTATCATCATGGTAGATTCTCCATGCACCAAAAAGGTCAAGGCCTAAAAAGGAGCTGCCATCAAAGTTTCATTTCAAGGGCACCTTCAATGGCTGCATCAAGGATTCACTAAGACAGTCATCCACTCATGAATCAGCTCCGCCAGCCATGGTCCACTACAAATCTTGCTTAACTAGAGCCCATGAAAGAACAAGAACCCCTACTTTGTTCTCCAAGCAACTCGATGCAAGAGTTTGCCCCTCGAAGTCAAACAATCCTTTTATCATAAAAGAAACTTGGTGGGTAGATATTCCATATGTGGCTCAAAAGGCATTCTCCCCAGCTAAATCTTTAATTTTTTTAAATTAATTGTCCCTAGATAAATCAAGCAGGCTTCCTATCATATGGCTAAAAAAACCCACAATGATGGCCTCTATCTCGACCAAAAACATATGCTAATTGTTCTCTCATTGTAACCAAATCAGCGAAGCTCTTCCCTATCCTACCCCCACCTTTAATCGAAGAGGAGGAAAACATATGATGTAGCTCTCAACCAATTTGACCTATTAAAAGGATTATTCCCCCCAACTGTACCAATAAGAAAACAATTAAAGACACAAAATCGTTTACTACCCCATAACCATACCAACAAATGTAAGAAACCATGAAACATTTAAGAACTCCAGGACATCATAATCTGGCATTAATTCTTGAAAAGACAGAGTAGATATTGATATGGAAGGGTCGTCATCTGCTACTACAAATTTGTTACTATATGAAAAGGAAATTCCTGACCACAAACATCGTCCATTCCATTGTGGGAATGCTTCCCATGAAAAATTACACTTCACTTCCTTTAATGCAATGAACACAAAAATATGAAACCGAGTTCTGCAACTTACGATATTCAAGATGCCAAAACCAAAATGGAAAAGGAAGAGCAAAATCAGAAACTTGCATCCCTAAAATCATAGTTACAAAGCTTAAAAATTATAAAAAATAAACAAAACAATAGATAAATGCAACAAGTTCAGGGAAGTGAAACTCTCAATGCGTTGAACCCAGATAATTCACCTAAAGACCATGAAAATGACTTTGCACTAATTTAGGGAGAAATAACGTGAAATCATGGTCACCCAAGGAATTTGGAATTCCAAAACTGAAGAACGATTTATTGGAAACCCAACTAGTTCCTGTAATTTAGCAGGCTTTTGGCATATCGACAACCTTTCTTCTTTAACCCAACCTTATAGGTTTTTCCACAAAATTCATCACTCCAAAAATTTATCTATGTTCCCAATAAATTTTTAGAAATTTCAGAACCCCAGAATTTTACCTATGCTCTGGATAAATTGGGAAGTGAGCACTCGACAATGAACACGAGCCACTCAAGTAACCCTAGATGAGCTGATCCATTAACCTTTTTCCATTAAACCAATCGAGATATTCTGAGAAATCAATTGAGCTATTGAATCAAATGTCACAGAAACCCTAATTCCAAATGATGCATTGCCATCCCAAGTACATGCTCATTGGAAAGGTAACATCTACACCAAAACCAACTATGCAGAGAAGCACCTAAAATCCAAACGAAGAAGAGAAATAAGATACTACATCAAACGAAACAAGGAAATAACAACCCAAGTATCTTCAACAAACGAGCAACACATAAAGAGAGAAGAAATCACAAAAAAAAAAACCCAATAGATAAAATCATAAAACAACAAATCACATAAGAAATCAATAGAGCGATAAAAACCCAAACTTTCAAAAGAAATGAAACTTGGGAAACATGAACTAACCTCTGATCATGTCAAAATGAGCCCATCTAGGCGGAATAGATGCCATTTTTGAGGAGTGTGCTTCGGAATCAGGTCTTATTATTGAAGCAGGACTCCTCGAAAGCATAGAGGCCATGGCAGGCTGAACCCCCCATGGCAATGAAGAAATTCTTCTAGCAGCAACGCGCAACATCTCTTCAATCCTAAACACAATAAGATTTCACAGAGGTTTCAGAAAAAAAAAGGGGGGAGGGGACAAAAAATATCCACAGAGAGAGAGAGACTTTGTATAAGAGAGAAGCGGTTAACGTGAGGCCTGCTCTGTTTATACAAGACAGGGATCGTCTTCATGCAAAAAAAGACGGGGATCGTCTTCGTGCAAAAAAAAAAAAGAGCGAGTACAGAAGAGAGAGAAACTTATACCGTCTAAAGATGAGAGAGAAAGAGAGAGGAGCTGCGGTCAATCGTGGGATGCAACCGCAATAAGAGGGAGGCGGGTGAATGAACTAAGACCACACTTAATGAAGGCCTTCACTTTCGAAAAATAATACGCTAATGCCGCTTCCCCCACGTGTGAAGATAGGTAATAAGGTCAGCAGGTCGGGTTGTATGGGCCGGCTCCGGGTCCGGGTCCTGGTCTGAGTTCGGCTGAGCTTGGATGGGACCTAGATATGGACTTCGACCTGAAAATCTAATGTAGGACCTGAATCCAATTGGACGCACCCCAAAAATTAAAATACTTATATATTTAAATATATTTTTATAAATTAAAAAATTTATATAAGGTTGCAACACTAAAATGTAGAATTATATTCGCACCTCAAAAATCTATCAGAAAGATGTTGTTTTAATGTTGAAAAACCCTCTAATTGATTATCTCGAGAACGAGATATATGAATATGATATATATATATATATATTAAGTCCCAAAAAGAGTCCTTCTTGCAATATATTATCTAGACCGACCATTTTTAAGATTTTCTTACATTTATATATCTACTTGATTTTGACCATTTTTGGAGTCTAAAATTTTATAATTATATATGAAAATAGATTTTTAGATAATTCTAAAAAATAATTTACCCCAAAAATACATATTATGACAAAATTTGGAGGTGTGCCTTACTTGGATTGTTTAAGGTTGCAACCTTATGGAAACCACACGTTTATAACTTGGTAAATGTGGGACTCAAATCCAATCCGATTCAAACCCCAACTCGAATAGTATTTGGGTCCACGATTAGGACCCAAACTGACCAGCCGAGTCCAATTTTTAGACCCATACAACCCGAGTCAGGTCTAGCCATCGGTCCCAGGTCGGGTAAGTGTCCATTGCCACCCCTTGATTCAAGGGCTCATGAGAAATACGAGGTGGTACCTATTACTTAGCATGGAAATAAACAGAACGCATACCATCCGATGACCACAACGTAGGGCTAGTAAATTTCATTTATCACCAAGGTCCAGGGAGGAAAAGCCTGCAGCGTACGATGACCACAACGTACGGCTAGTAAATTTCATTTATCACCAAGGTCCACGGTGGAAAAGCCGTTAGTTGCTTTAGTCTAACGATTGAGCGACCTGTTTGAATTATAAGAAGATTTTTGCATTACGTTAGAATCTTAGTACACTACTAAGCAGTGTTTTAAAAATCAGCGACTCGTTTTGGAATCATGTGATCCAAATCGGGTATCGCTTAGCCCATCTCGAATCGTGTAAAAAACGGGATTCGAACGATTTTCTACCTAGAATCGCCCTGATGACGTCATGAGCCACCAAGTGATGTTATGGATCGTCCAATCTGACTAGCTAGTAATGTTTTTCTATTAAAAAATTGAACTACATGCCCCCACCGATAATGATTGGTGTACACCAGTGTTTTAAAAATCGGCAACCCAATTCGGAATCGAGCAAACCTGATCAGGTATCGCTCAGCCCATCCTGAATCGTATAGAAAAATGGGATTCAAACGATTCTCTACCTAGAATCGCCTCGATGACATCATGAGTCACCAAGTGATGTCAGGGATTGCCGGATCTGACTCGTCAATAATGTTTTTCAATTAAAAATTTGAACATGGCCCAGAAGCACCAATACTTATTATCATGGGTGACCCTTCAATGGGACATTTCTCTAATACACGTTTGCATCCAATAAACTTTATAGCTTATAAAAAACTAATACTATTAGGCATACTATATTACGTGAGTGTACTATTAGGTGGGGATGGGCACGTCATGAATAAGAAGGGTGTACGTCCTATGGTGGCAATTAAATTAGAGAAAATTACATAAATATATATTATACTTTGCGTTATTACAGATTTGCCAAATAGTTTCTATTATATGTATGTCTGTTTTTTACATTTTATAATTCAATCTTTTAAAAAATGCGACTTTATCTTTTTTCGGATTTTTAACAACTGAAATGGAGAGTTTTCAGATGCTCAACATCCGAAAATAGTCCGAAAGTTTAACGTTCACATTCCCCTTTTCGAGTGTTGAACATCTAAATTGAAGGATTATGTCGATACATTGTATTCTTTATGAAAATATTACATTTTCGGATGTTGAACATCCGAAAATGTCATATTTTTTTATGTTCATTATCCGAAAATGGCTACGAAATTCCATAGACTTTCTGGAAATTCAAAGTCATATTTTCAGATGTTGAACATCCGAAAAACCCTTTAATTTGGATGTTCAACACCCGAAAATGAAAATGTGAATGTTAAACTTTCAGCCTATTTTCGAATGTTGAACATCCGAAAAACCCTCCAATTCGGTTTTTCAACATCCGAAAAAAGGTAAAATCGTCTTTTAAAAAAAATTACGTTATAAAAGGTAAAAAACGGATATACATGTAATAACATAAACCTATTTGGTACATCCGTAATAATGCAAAGTATAATTGATATGTATGTAATTTTTTTATTAAATTACACAATAAAAAAATTTATTAAAAATAATAATTGGGTGCCCACCGCCCTTATCTTTCACCCAAAATTTTAATTTACTTACTAAACAAAACATAAAACCTCTATTAGGCTATTATCTCATGGGATTATTTCATTATATGATTAATAATTAATTAATTAATTAATTAGTATTAAAAAATTAGTCTTAGCTTATAGGATATTAAAAAAAGTAAAAAATAATACTAATACTATTTTATTGAATATAAAAAAAATATTAGTTTAGATGATATTTTCAAAGAAAAAAATAACACTAACTCATACCACTTCGGAATTTATTTGAAGTTGCTTTATCAATTATCCCATATTGCAAATATGAAATTTTTAAATTTTTTAATAACTAAATATTGTATTTTATTTATTAATTTATTTATATTATACTTTTTGTAATATATCATTTTTTTCTTGTAATTGTAAATAGCATTTTTAAAATTAGATGATATTGTAAGACATTTTATATTTTTATTTGTATAGAAAAATAACTAAAAACATATAAAGTTATAAACCAACAACTTCAATTTCAATATATATTATTATAGTTAGTTAGGTTGTAATACTTTTGGATGAGTAAAACGAATTAATAAACGTTTGATACTTTGATGTGATACTAATTTATGTTGAAAAATAAGTTTTTTAATATTATAATATGGAAGTGTTTTCTAATATTTTAAATTGTTTTGATATAATATTATAAAACCATATTATAATTAATAATTATACAAACATCCAGACAGAAAAATATCTCAGTATGCACTTATTTTTACAAAATAATGAAAGTACACAATGCATCACTTCTAGTTTCTTTTAGAAACTAAAAGAACACTATTTTTAGAGATTTATAGTGTTTTTTTGAAGAAAAAAAACTAAGAGATAAAAAAAAGGAGGAAATTATTAAAAATAATAATTAGTTGATAGGGCCCACCACCCCTATCCTTCACCAAAAAAAATTAAACTTACTTATCCAAAAAAAACAAACTAATATTATTAGGCTATTAGCTAATTTGGATTAAAAAAAATAGTACTAGCTCATAGGATACTAAAAAAAGCAAAAAATAATACTAATACTGGTTTATTAAACATTAAAAAAATACTTATTTATGAGATTTTTTAATAGATAAAAATAACACTAGCTCATACCACTTTAGAATTTATTTCAAGTTGCTTTATCAATTATCCCACATTGTAAATATGAATTTTTTTTTTTTATTTTCTAATTTTATTAAAATATGATTGCAAATTTATGTTACTAAATTTTATATTTCTATCAACACCAATTATTATACATTAGATTTATTTATTTGTGAGAGTCATACCCTTATTTTTTTGAATCATGTTTATTATAATATTGAATAATTATACTAACTATAGTGATAATAAAATCTTATATTTTATTTATTAATTTATTTACATTATAATGCAATGTATTATTTTTTATTATAATTGTAAATTAGATTTTTAAAATAGATGATATTATAAAACAAATTTCAAATTTATTATTATTTGTATAGTAAAATGATGATAAAATAAAAACATGCAAACCAATAATTCTAATTTCAATGTATAATATTGTATTTAGTTTGGTTTAATAAATGTTTCACACAACGAAATAATATCTCAATATTCGTATACTGATGTAAAAAATAAAAATTATTAATATAGTACCATCATTTATTATTGGATTCCTAAAAAACAACATTTATAATGATTTTTAATAGTTTTTCTTAATTTTTTTAAGGCCAAATTCGACCGATTCCCAATCCAAAATGCCAATTCATCGATCTAGATGGGTTTTTTTGATACCCAATCCGTTTTTTAAACCACTGCTACCAAGTAAGAAATCAGAAGCGTCCAAACGTATATTCCACTCATGCTGGAAGAGGAAAGCGTCATCTCTCCCTTCAAGGGCAGCAACCGGGTTGGGTCGACCCAAACGAGTCTAACTCCAGCTCTATGTTTTGGATACATGGGTAGAGGTTGGGTCCAAATGATTTGCACAAAATCTAAGTCGATAATATATATATATATATATATAAAGAAGCCACTACGCAATGTTTATGGGCGAAAATGAATAGTTTTTTCCCCCATAGACTTTCGGATGGCGAGGATTAAAGATGGCCACAGACCTAGCATGTTCGTAGCGGTATCCCGTCATAGACATAATATGTCTGTGGCGATCAAAAAACATGCGGAAACTGCCACGGGCCACATGCCGTCCGTTGCGGTTCCGTTCAATAAACTGTTATGGACATAGCTTGTTTGTGGCAGGACAAAATACTGTTCAAAATCGTTTATAGGTGAAAATGAACAGTGATTTCGCCTACCCTCATCATTGTCTAAAGTTCATCACACAGGCAAGATTGTCCGGTAGTGTTTGATTTTTTCATTTTTTTTACAAATCAGAATGACCTAAAATTTGGAACGCGTGTTCATAAAAAATAGGCGAATCTACCAAAAATATTAAAAATATATTTTACATGAAAAAATTGATCAAAATACC